CCTGACAGCAGGCGGTAACGCTTCCAGATCGGCTCTGTGTAAGGAGCTTTGACTGTCACCTCTTCGGTTATGTCAGTAAGGGCTGCCCATGGTAATCCAAGGGGACAGAGGAGCGATGACGGATGGGGCGCTACCATGAGCGAGCCGGCGTGATGTCGCCCCGGTGGGGCTCCTCCCTGAGATTTTTGAGGAGTGAGGCCGGCCACTGGTCCTGGGCCCTGGTGTTGGCCTGGCTTCCCTCCAGAGCGAGGCGGGGAGGGGGCTCCTGGGATGCCTGCAGACCGAGGGGGATCCCCGCCTGTAGGGGTGTTTGGCTCACGGTTGCATACAGGGGATGTGTAAAACTTACCGTGAGATCCTTTTTAGGGGACTGTGGGAACGTGTGAGACGTATTATGGGTTCTTTAAGAGAGGCACCAAAGGTGGGGAAGAGGTCAAATTGGACTGAGGAAAAACCATGGGAACATGGAAGGAGGAGCAGGGTGAAGAAGGTGGTTGCCTGTGAGCACGATGCTGATTGGTAGCCTTTATCTCTGCAGTCTGTCTTGCCTCGCTAAACTCTAATTTTTTTTCCAGGGTGAGAGGACTGTCTACCCTGTGTGCGTATCTATGTCTGGAGGTCTAAGTGCCAGCAACAGGCTTCCCGCCACAGGTCAAAGGGGCCAGTGTGTATGTGGTACCAGCAAAGGGGAAGACTGGAGCATGTGCAGACTGGGGGCCGGGGCCAAGGTGGAATGCCTGTGTGTGTGATCGCTAGCGCACGAGCCAGACTAGCGAGCAAGCACGATAATGGGCTGTGGGGCTTGGTATCCAGGACCAGATACGGGGAGATTGGGGCCAGCAGGTTGCTTACTGGAGGTAGGTCTAAGCCAGCTTGCCATGAAAGCCAGCGGCCAGTTACCGGACAGAGTACTTAAGGGCAGCTACTGAAGAGATTCATCATGTTTGCGTGTGAGTACACGTATACGTATACGTGAATGCACTCTACTAGCAGACTTCGGAACTGGCTGGCTGGAGAGGAGGAGGAAGAGGATTCGGCCATTTGTACCATTCACGTTTGCGAGTGCTGTGTGTTTTCTGTGTCGATCAGTGTTACCGGACGTGTGCATTTTTGCCTGTTGGGAATGTACTACTGGCCGGACTTGGGCGCGTGGAGGTGTGGCAGCCTTGCATCTATTAAGGTGCCGGACTCAGCAACTTCTAATGTCACCCATCTCAGCGTCCCTGTCTTTGCTGTTGCAGCATTTCACTTTGCGCTCCCGTAAATCTCTCGGAGACTCTTTAACCTGGTACTCCAATGGCTGTTAACGTGTTTTTTTCTGCCAGGTAGGTAGCAATTCTGTGGTGAACCGTGGTGCCAGATACGGCTACATAAATAATGACTTATATTTGAGGAAAAGGTAATGGCAGCCTGCAGGGTCTTAGTTCCGTGTTAATCTAAGGCTTTTACGGATGTCCTCTCTTACACCAGTACAGAACGATCCTTGCTCTGCTAGCCTGTTCCCGATGTGTCCTATTCCACGAAGGACGGCAGATGTTCAGAAATAAAAGCCCTTCGGTGGGAACGTTCCCCGTAGCCGTGTGAGAGGAGGCAGTCTACTGCAGAAGGGACCAGCCCCCTAGCAGGATAGAAAGCCACAGAGATGTATCGCATAACCTAGTTTCATGCTGTGTCAATATTCTTGAGGCAAAGCACTGAAGGAGAAAGGGTACCATGAGTTATTTTATTCTCAGAGAGCTCTGAGTTTTGGGTATGGTTTATGAACGTCCCTCTATGTCCGTGGACTAAAGACAGGATCGGAGAAGCCAGGAGAGGATTTCTGGTTTACTTGTTCTGCTGTACATAGTCTTAGGGAAATTAAAGTTCCTGTTTTCTCTCTTGGGGAACCGTAACGTGCTGGTTGGATGGGTAGAGATTTCATCTTTCCCCCTTTCCCTAAGTGCTGTCAGTAAACATCTGGGCATTTACTTCCCCTCTGAAAAGTATTCCCAGTAACAATGATGTCCGAGTAGCAGTGAATCTTTTCTGTCAGCAGAATTGGACAAAAGCCGCCTGTGCACAGAAAAAAGATGACTGCAGGTCAAGACTGGCCCACGCAGAGTAGTTGCTTGCGTTCTGACAGGTGTTCTGAGGTTCTCGGAGGGCCGGAATTAAGACCAGTTGAACCTTTTGGTCAGCCACTGGAGAAAACTGACTGGCAGGTACGAAAAATCCCCTGCTCCCGGCAGCTCAGTCAGACGTCGTAAAACAAGCGCACTAGTTGGTATCGGATTGAAAATGCAATCGTGCTGCCCAGGACCTAGGTAAAAATCAGACAGACAACGGAAACGTTATAGTGTCAAGTAGTTCACAGGCTGGCAGCTTCCTCCTTTCCAGATGGATTTGTTATGCTTTCCAGCATGCCTCGCTTCACTAAATAACACCATTTAGGCTAAATATTTTAGGGACAGAAAGATGAAAGGCAGAAGTCTAGCCAAAGTCCTCGTTTTTTTTTTTCTCTCAGAATCATAGCTATCTGTGGGGGATTGCTGCGTGCGCCTGCGCACGGCCACATTGTGAGAACGAGCGGACGAGATGAATGGTTGGGAACAACTCTTTCCTTCTTAGGGAGCCTATGTTACAACGTAAACCTTGTGGTTCGTAATTGAAAGTACCTCGTGTCAAAGCTGCAATTCAGCATCTTTTTACAAGAAGGCGCTGCCAAGAATGCTCTGCTGTAACCGGGCTGAAAATCAAGTGGCAGGTACTCTCCCATCCCTGATGGAGTCATGCCTAAGCCCTGTTCGGTCTCCAGGTTTGTTTGCTGGAAGCCCTTCCTCTCGAACGGGAATTTGGCCAAGTGGCTCTTCTCTTTCCTAATAAGAGTCTCTTACCTTTTCATCTGAGGATGAAAAAAGAATTTTTTTTTTGTGGGCAAGTATGCGACACAGGCCTTTCCAAAAGCAGTGTTTCTACCGTATTACGCACAAGAGTTCAAGTGCTGATTAGAGGTAGTATCTGTGAGGCGTGCTATCCTTGCGCTTTAAGTTGCTTCACAACGCTCCTGCGCCCTGCTCAGATTCCAGATACCGCTGAGCTACGCGAGTCCGCCAGCCAGAGATACCTCCAGGATTGTGCTATTGTGTGACTGAAAAAGAGGAACCGGGAAAAAAGGCTGTATCGCTAACCTAGGGTCTCCGTATTTATTAGCCCTCAATGAACAGGGAGGAATCTGTTTCCTCCCTGAGCTATGCAAACATCTGATTCTCCTCAAGTTCCATAGCTCAGCTGCTTGTTGTGTGAAGAGCATGATGCTTTAGTTCCCCTTTTCCCTGGAAACTCCTGAGACTGATTTGGATCTGCCTCTATTGCAGAGTACATCTTTCTACGGGAGGAGCCATTTGTCTGACCTGAATGAGTAGCAACAGGAGAGTGAGATTTCGCTCGTGGGTGGGTCCAATCAGCTTTATAACAAAGTTAATAAGTGTCATATTATTGCACTCGGTGTATTCGCCATCTTCATCTGTTCCACTCTTCACGTCTACTATGTGCAAGATCTTGACTGCCTGGGGAAAAGAAATACCGCACGCTATTTCACCACGTACGTTTGGTGCTCACCGGCTGGCTTTGCTCGAGATCCCTTTCGCTGTACCACCCCCGACGTCTGGCTCGTGCTCCTACTGAAAGGACAGGACAGGCTTTTGATGGTCCTGGGACGCGGCTACGCGCGGCTATTCCAAAAGACTGATTATCAACACAGTCGAGTGACCGCGAGGGATGGCGACGGACTAAGCTGAATATTTTCCTCTGGATTTGAACTAGGAAGTAATTAGCGAACCCAGAAGTGCTGCATTCCCTCCCATCCCCTTCCTCTCGCATTTGATCACCGCCTCAAAACGTGTCTGGATCTTGAATCTTTTCCAGATAATACCTTCAGAATGTTTGTTCCCAGGGCAGAGAGGCTCTTAGTTTTGAATTTGGAATAGCTCATCTCCAGCTTCCCCGTACTAGGATTGAGCCTAAAAAGAAACATGAAAATTTTAGTCCAGACAGAGCAAGAAGACAGAGAGATCTCTATGCAGGCAGACTTAGATGCCTAGCCGAGCGGTCGAGAAGGAAAGAAACCCAGTGGTGGAAAAAGCAGGAATCCGACACAGTTGCCAATACCTAGTCCCTCGGCCTGGGCAGAGTCAGGAGGAGATTCCTCCCCAATATATGCATAAAGCTGTACAGTTTTACAAATAAACTAGAAAAATCTAACGTCTGCAGAGTCAATCGCTGATACGGCATAGCGTCACAGAACCCTCGCTACTGTAAAATCTTAGCCGGCCCTACTGCAACAGCATTAAAAGCAGCCTGTATCGGTTGCTGTCAACCCCTGCTTTAGGAATCGAATGTAGCTGGCAGAGCGAGCCAGCTAACTTTTAACCGTAAAACTTAGGTCGATGGCTTTTAAAAAGAGCACTTCCCACCACCCTTCTCGGCCGGTGTTGGAGATAAAAGGGACAATCTGCGGTACCGTGACAGGTCACTCGGGTACGTTACCTCGGCAGCCGGTGACGGGGACAAGGAATGACGTGGAAGAGTTGAGGCAATGAGTAGAGGAAGTTGAGCACTTGCGGGATGAAAAAAAGCAGCATTGTTTTGCTGAAGTGCCCCAAGATCCCCACCACGGCGAAGGTCATGCCAGCAAAGTAGCAGAAGGTGTCCCCGACAAACGCTCGAGATGGGTACCTGCAATCCACAGGGCAGAAAAGCAAAGGTCTGTCGTGATGGCTGTTGCCATGAAAATGACTTGATCGTAACCACCGAACGGGTTCCCACATGGCAGGTTAGAGGCCAAGAGGGAACTGCAGCAGATCTGCATAGTAAAAACAACTGCAGGTATTTATGCTAAAAGAGCTGTGGGACTAGGAACCACAACCTGACTTGCAGAGAGTGTGGTATGAAAAAAAAGGCTAGCAGGACATACGAGGGGGCACATTCTGTGCATTTGGGTGGGCCAGAGTGACTGGAATTGTTCTAATGAAAAGCAAAGCTACCGGTGCAGCGATGCTTTGCGCTCCTGGTTCTGGCAAGAAGCCTATCTACGCTCCAGCATCCCACCTGCACGTCTGTAAGTAGTTTTGTTTGTTTGGAAAGGGAGAAAGCAAAGGGAAAGGAGGCTTCGGAAGAACCGCGGAACGTCCATCCTCTTACCAGTTGTGGTAAAACAGCCCCAGCGTGGTAAAAAAAAAGGGAATCATGAAGTAGAGAGAAAAAATGTGATCGTCTCGGTAATCCCCTATAGAAAAAAGAAAAAAACCACACGGTTGTTGTAAGAGACAGGACTGGTTGATTTTTAGCAATACCAGATATTGAAATCTAGGATTCTCTCTCCCTTTCCTTTTTCCGCCCACAAACACGTATGTTACCTTCCTTACCGTTTAACTCCACAATGTTGAATATGATAATGGAAGCAGCTATCACCAGAGACTGCCCTGCTTCAATTCCATTAATTCCCGCGAGAATGTTGATGGCGTTAGTGCAGAACACTGCTAGCATGCCCATGTACGCGTAGTAGAGGATACCTGCAGATGAGAGCGAGCCAAGCGCTTTAGTATTTATAGGTAGAGGCAGGCCCTGGTCCAATTCAGCAAAGCTCTCGCTTCCTGCTTTGTACAACAACCCACTGCCTAGAGATCTCGGTGATTTTTGATAGCGGTAGTAGCTTACTAATAAATCGCTCCCTCTCCTGGGCATCGGCAGTCGCGCGTACACGTGCGTACGACACGGCGACTGCAGCCGACCGTTGTAACACGGCGGCAGACTGCGGCGCTCTGTTTCTGTCCCTCGGTCATTCTGGTGTCGGCAGCTGAGCGCCGTGCACAGGCGGCGCTCAATTGTGTGCTGGAAAAGTGACCGGTGCTGGGCTTCTGGACGTTCTTTCCCACCTAACATTCAGTGGGTGGATTTGCGCCTTCTCTCCGGTTACTTAAGCCAATCCTTCTTGTGTTCTCGCGGCAGCACCGAGTGCTGCCAGGTGCCCCCTTCCACCTATCGCTCGCCGCTCGCGTGACAGCTTCTGGTGATGCACAACTTACCCAGGTCCAAGTGCATGCCCAGCAGTACCCGGAAGGGCTTAGGTACCACAATGGTCGTGTTCCCAAAGTTGGTGAAGTAAACCATGAGCAGCGGGAGGGAAGCCATGGTAGGAAGAAGGAGCTTGTGGCGCCAGCGCAGGTTCAGAACGTCATCTGCAAAGCCCAGGAAAATCATGCAGCAGATGGCGAGGAGCGCACCGATGAGCTCCACGAACTGCAGGAGAGAGAACAGGACCCCGGTTACCGTCGGTCGCTCCCTGCCCGTGCCCGCCACGCTCACGGCTCCAGGCAAGCCTCACCTCATCGTGAGGAAAGGCCGCGCACTGCTCCTCCACGAAGCACCTCAGGAAGGGCACAGGGATGAAGCAGAAGAGGAGGATGAGGAACACGGCCCCGCTGATCACGCCCTGTGCTTCGGGGCTGGAAGGAAGGGAAGGCGGGGAGTGAGCCCGGCCGGTCCCGGGGCCAGGGCCGGTCCGGCCCTGCGGCGCACGGTT